GCCATCTGTATCCGTGCTGAGATTTCGTCAGCTATCAACCCGTTGGGGTTGAAGTGATTAACCCGCTATACCACTTCACTCCCCATTTTCAAGGCAGGAGTCACTCTGATCCAGTCCTGTAGCATCATCTCTTACATTTGGCGGGAGGGAATCGCAGGCCAAACATCCGCAGACTGGAGCTCAAGGTTCTGAGACTAAGCTAAGCTAAATGACAATTTTCGTACGGAAATTTAATATACAACTAACTGAAGTAGGTAAATATGGATTACTGGCTGAAGCTGTCGATTTTCAGCCAATATATTCTGGGTTTGAATCGCATTCCACCTACTTTAGCTTGAGCAACCAGATTGCATAATCCCCTGTAACACAATACGTGTGGGATGGTCAACAGTTTGAATCTGACTAGTTTTTATCGGTAGGCCAAAGTGCGTATACTACCCAGCTTCAGACACTGCTAGTTTGTTGCTATAGCTTCCGATTGCAGCACTCATTGGCACATTTCGCCTCATCTTCTTATTACTCATTCATAGTTTTACTTTATTTCATCAAGAGAAAACAGATCTCCGTCTGTCATCTACTTAATTTACATCTGTTTACCGATTCTTTATCCATCACATTTCAGTTTTCCAGCATCATTTACAGAATTATTAACAAGATGTAGTCGTATAATGACTACTGCAGACTTTGCAACAACAACAACACCAACAAGAACAGCACCACCAACAACACCAAGAACGCTGAACAGAAGTAATACTCTTCACATCTTTATGTGTTCTAGTTGTCTCATTATCATTATCACTTCTATTATTATTTTGTTTTTCAAAAAGAAACCAACCTCTTTTAGTTAAGATGAAATCAAATAATGAAAAAGAAAAAAATCAATGGAAATTATTTTGATGTTCTCCAGTCTTCATTCTCCATCTGCTTCACTATATTTCAAAACTTGTTGAGCTTTCTTTATGTCAAGGAAGCATGCGGGGAATCCGCTGGTCGGGGAAGCCTCCTTCTACTCTCTCTCTCTCTCTCTCTATATATATATATATATATATATATATACCTATTCTACCCCCTGCATGAATTTTCACAACATAAAGCGTAGGACATAGAGATCACTCTGTGATCATGATCATGATCAAATTTCGAGCTTGGAGAACATCAAATACATGATTTCCAATCTTAATTCTAAGCTGTACAAATCTTTTATAGTTGAATAAATGAGTAAAACAGAAGAAAAAAACCTGATTCATTTAGAAACTTTCATTTTATATTTCTGTTGAATAAACATGATTCAATGTTCAATAAATTAGTTTGTCTTATTTTTTTGAAATATTTTCATTGGTAATAATTTGCATGTTTTCATTGAATAATGAATAATTCCATTTTCGGTGTACATTAATGATTAGTTGATTTGATTTTTTATTGTTTTAATTATTGAGTAAAGAATATCCTTTTCGATAATTTCCTCTTCTGGTTCTACAATTATATGCAGATGTTTATATACATAGAATACTCTAGATTAGTAGTCAATAACAACATTAGTGTTTTAAATAACATAGATTTATAAAATAAGATCACAGTGGAATCACAGTTCATTAACGATGCTTAAATTATAATAATAATAATAATAATAGTAATAGTAATAAAGATATAATAGCGAATAGAATATCGACTAGAATTAAGAAAATTCCACAAAAATTCAGGATCATTCAAACCTAGATGGCCAAATTAAGGACAGTGTCTGAACTAACTTCTTTTGGACGTACAAATTAGGCTTCTTGATGTGGATCCCAACAGCCTCAGCAATATTTAGTAGTTGAACGCTGCTCCTATGAAACCAATTACATAGGCCGTACAACTAGGTGTGTTTCTCGTCGAATTTCGGAACATCAACCGACGTGGTTAAGTAAAGGACAAACAAAATCTATTCGCAGCGCTATTGTATCTCATCTGTGGATACAGAACACAAGATTGAAGTTAACCAGACTTTCAGAGTCATTTACCGCATACCAACAAATCTTAATTTCTCCTTAAGCGTTCGTTTGCTATATATTGCTGAGACTTTTGGGGTCTGTATCAAGAAGCCTAATTTGTGCATCCAAAAGAAGCTAGTTCAGACATTATCCTTACCTTGGTCATCTAGGTTTGAATGATCCTGAATTTTTGTGGAATTTTCTTAATTTTAATCGATATTCTATTTGCTATTATATCTTTATTACTATTACTACTACTATTATTATTATAATTTAAGCACCTTTAATGAACTGTGATTCCACTGTGATCTTACTTTATAAATAGATATTATTTAAAAAATTCTAATATTGTTATCGACTACTAATCTAGAGTATTCTATGTATATAAATATCTGCATATAATTGTAGAGCCAGAAAAGGAAATTATCGAAAAGGATATTCTTTGCTCAATTATTTCGTGTTTTATAGATTTCTGAATGAATATTTTGTTTTAATGATTTCTATCCCTTTACCTATTTCATCACACAATGAATGAACTTTGTAGTACAGTTAATTGTATTGTGGTTTACGATTGTCTGGAGTAAGAGATGCAAGATACCGTATGGCTTTCATTGTTACGTGTGTGTGTATGTGTGTGACTGGCAATAAAACATCAAATCCAAATAGGTAACGTGTAACAGGCTGAGATAAGGATCCATCTTTAATGGCGGATTTATTCAGCGTTAAGAATAATTTCATTCAATAACTCACTTGATATATCAGAATGATTTAAAGACCACTTAGGCGCATAGTTTATAAAACTTGGGGTTAAGGTTTCTAGCCATTCTATAAATGACCTGAGTTTATATATAGATAGCCAGGTGATTGATAAGTAAGTTTACCATAAGCCTTAGCAATATTCCATGTGAATGAAGTATTATCTGCTATCTTTGATTTGTTCAAAATCGTGACAAAAATGTCATTTTTGATGAATAATTATTTGATTTTAAATAGTTCAGTTACGTTTACGAGTTTAGAAAACACTGGAACAGTGAAATTTGTAGAATACTGTGATATTATTTATATTTCGTCACTATTTTGCTTATTATTATTTCTCTTAAGTTCTGAGTAGAACATAGGGCTCCAAGCTAGAGCTCTGAATTTACAGTAACAGTGGGTTTACTGGCCTCGTGCTTAACCTCTTCTCTTTACCGGCCTTCTACCAGCTTAGTAGGGTTTTGAAGTGAGTCAGCTGAGGATCGAATCCCGGACTGTGTGTGGGTGTGTGTGTGGTGGGCGAGCGCTCTGCCGCTGAACCACCGACTCACACAACTTATAAGAAATAGGTGATGTACACTGTTGATCGATATGAATATTTCGAGAAGTATTCAAGTCAAACACTAATGCCTGTCTGTCAGGCAGAAGTGATCATAACACTAGGTGTTCGTTTCACCCATTTACGGCTGAAACTATCATTGGATTATTACAGCTCAAACCAACGGGATTTTGGCTAGCTATTTGATGAACTGTTTGTCGCTGACTCAGCGGTGAGAATAGCAGGCAGCTATGTAGGAGGTCCGGTTGTGATTCCCGACAAACTCATTCCTAACTTGGTTCACTAACCTGTAGCTTGAGCGTGAGACTCGCAATCCTATTCCGTAAAAAAAGAACCTGACTACTACTAATGAAACTTAAAAAGCCTGAGGCCCCGTGTCCTACTTGGAACGTAAACAAATGCAATAAACCCAGTGGAACTTATTAGAACAACGGATATCTGATGTTTAGGTCACTTCGATATGACTAGCAAGTACTAATATTTAAAGTGAGTGGCTTTCAACTACTCACATCATTAATCAGTAGTATCGCCTATCGTTTGTTTACTTGTTTATTGTTCATGGCATCTGTCAAGCAGATGGTACTTTGTGATACATAAGAGATATAAGTGTATGGCTTTAGGTACTCGAGATATTGCCTCGAATGCTTCTTCTTCTGTTTTGATATGATGTTCAACTTTTACTAAAAAAAAGGGACAAGATAAGACCATTAACTGACGTACTCTTCTTCTTAGCCACACTAGGGAATAGTTAAAAAGCTGACGGAGCAGTTAAATCTGTACACACGCGTCCATGTGGTCATCACTGACGACTTATTCTTAGTGTTACGTGTTAGTATCTGTCTGTTTTGGAAACTGTTATGTAACTTTCCCGATTTGAATGTCCTCCCTGTGCCACGTAACATTATCTCTAAGTATATTATCTTTATTAGGATTGAAATATTCTCATAAAGTGGTAAGAATAAGTGAGGGAAAGTAAAGCTTTATGAATATTCGATAATAACAAAAGAGAATTTCTCATAAAACTTTAGAAATTGAAGCTTAATCTTCTTGTAATCATCATTGTGGCAGATTTTGCCAATTGATTATTCACAAATGCATGTGCAGCGCTAAATTTTCGACGTATACTGGTGAGTAGATACTTTGCTGTTGAACTGTTTACGTCATATAATCCTCTTAATATCAAGTTTAAATTGCGAATCTCTTCAGTAAACCCAACTGTCTGTGCTCTTCTGTCCTTTTAATGTATCTGATTTCGGCTCATAAAGTGGTAACTACAGGGGTGTGGGTAATATGTTACAAGCACCTGGTAATGTTTGTCCGCATTAGTAGAATATTTCACAGCATAAATTCTAACTTTTATTAGCCGACTAACTAGCCTTAAATACAAATTCAGATAAATACGGGTACTTTCCTACGTTTAATGCACGCAATTCCTTTTTGTAGTTATTGTTTAATCGATCGTTTTCTTGAGCATACATACTTCTGCGGTGAGCATTACTTCCTAGGTATTTCAAAAAGGTGCCAGATATAATTCACATCACAGTATTCTATAAATTGATCATTCTTCCAGCTGTTTTTTTTTTGCTCCTTTCAAACATTGTGTGGGTACTTTTGATTCTGCATGATTAAAAAAATATCGAAAGGGTAGATCAACTCTTGAGCTGTACTCATATATATATATATCTTTCTGCATGATTTTTCTCCTTTTTTTCCAGACGAAGTAGTAAGACCAAAAAGTCAACCAAAGAAAGTAATAAATTCAGAAACCCTTATCCCTTACTTGCCTATACAACAACCGATGCACAAGAAACAACGGATGGGCACACCGTCGTCATCAATGGTCGAACAAATGGTTACCCCAACAATTATAAGTCCAGCGGTAAACTATCAAACGGAGATACGCACAAAGCAGTCAAGTCAAACACGAAATCAGTCAGCTTTGAAATACCAACGTCAAATAAATTATTGTCCGGAGGCGGTGGTAAAACAGGCTCATATAAACATGGCATACCAAGCAACACCGTGTTTGTCGGTTCCGAAACAGCAGCAGCAACAACGGCAAAAATCACCACAACAGCGGCAACAAACAAGCATATTCACAGAGAACCACAGAAAGCGACAACAAATGTAATTTCGAAATATGGTAGGTGTTTCTTTATTAATTTAATTCGTTTGCGTTCCAAATGAAACATAGGACTTCCAGCTCGAAGCCTTGAATTTACAGTAACGGCGGTGTAATTTTATACTAGGCGGGTGGTTTACCGCCGGCTAAGAGGGGTTTAGGAGTGAGTGAGCTGTGAATAGGATCCCCGGCCACATGCATGGTTGTGGAGCATTCTACCGCTGAACTAATGATGAGTATGGTCTTGTTTTATCTTTTGAATATCTAATTTACGTTCATGTGTCTATTGGATTTGATCAGCAATGATCGATGGCAAAGTGAAAATCTGTCTGGCGTCTGGCTTCGAACCAGCGGCCTCCAGATTAGTAGTCCAACATTGTGTCAGCTGAGTTACGAAACCAAAATTCCAAACGGATAATCATTTCGCCGAAATTACAATGGATAACACCCAGTTGTTGTGTGAGTGAATGATACATTGATGTTCAGTTACCATTATAAAAGATGCCCACCGAGTCTTCTTCTGTTAAATCTTGGCAGTACCGGTAGTGATAATAGCGAACTGATGACCTGATTGAAGGTTAGGTCTAGTAAATTAACTGAGAGACCGCCGAGCTAGCAATGTGGAGGCCGATGTTTAGAAGCCTTTCGCAACTAAGATACTCACGTCACCTTTAATCATCACTAATTATATTAATAACAGTCTACCAATCCAAGACTATTTTAGATAGTCTTACTCTCATATATTACATCCGTTGAAGCATCGCTTTTTCAGAAGAATTTTTTGGCTTAAGAAGGGTTATGGAACTATGTGTGGTCATACTAATTTAATTTTTAATTTTTTTAATTTTTTTTTGATTTACAGCTTGATTCCACATTGTATTTTTGGTACAAGTATGGAATTTTCAGCATGGATATCGGTAGCCCAAATTTTGCAGGCCGACCATAGATATCAGGTGTGCGTCGGCGGGGGTTCGAACCACGGACCATGTGCATGATCGGCGAGAGTCCTAACCACTGTGCCACCGAATTATTGAATCTATGAAGTTTTCCCAACCTGTGTACTACCCAAAAAGGGAGGGGCAGCATAGTCGGCTTGCCCGTTATCTCAGGGAAACACGTAACTTATGCTGCATCCTTATTCTCCAGCATTACCGCTTCCACTACAACCTCCCCCCCCCCAACATAATGTAAATGACTTTCACTGTGATGATAAATGCTTTAAGTCCACCCACTATCCAAAGGACCCTTCTGGCATAGTGCGATCTGCAGGAACACTCATCCCAGCCGGTGTAGTCAGCTGATTCATTGTTGTTCGCAGTCCTAGTCACCGCGTCCAGGTGGCAGCTGTCGGTCGGCAAATTTTAAGATGATAGGTTTCTAATATCAAGTGTTGGTTCGCACTTGATTCGATTGGTTACCAATTTGATTACCAGTTAGAGAAGTATCGGAAGGCCTGGGAGTACTGCACTGTACCAATGACAACTGCTTCATCCCAGTGTGAGACCCATGAAACTGGCTGACATTTGTGCTATATATATTGCGCATTGGCAAGATGTGGAATTCATGGGCCATTGGATCGAGTCCCAGTGACTGAATAATCTACGAGTTCGCCCTGTAACCGGAAGATCCTGGTTTCGAACCCCTGTGGTGTGAAAGTAAGCACTGATGAAGAGTCGCCAGTTGGGACGAAATAGCTGTCATATGTACGCTACAATATTCCTAGGTTTTTCCAATAGTTCTCTAACTAATGTCAACTTGTGATCAAACCTGACAGGTTTCTGTCACAAGATGACGTTATTTTATCATGCGTCGGTGGCACAGTGATTAAGACGCCCGCCAACCATATGCATCGTCCGGGGCTCGACCCCCTCCCGACGCACACCCGGTTGGCCTGCAAATTTGGACTACCGATATCGCATGCTGAAAATTCCATACCTGTACCAAAAATACGTGTGGAATCAAGCTATAATAAAAAAAAATTTGGATACGACAAATTGTTTCTCATTAAGGTACTGAAGATACCCTTCAAAACTCACGCCTTCAAGTAAATGAAGCTGATGAATGTCTTCAGACGATATCTTCGTTCTTCTAATGAATCGATTATTAAGAATAACAAATTCATTTAGTTAATAATTGTTGGGATATAAATTAAAGACAGTCCATAGGGAAATTGCTAAATTGGTCTTCTAGTGCATGTGACCGTGAAAATTGTTTCTTATTTTGTAAAATGTTCAAAAATTTCATATTTTGGTAGCAAAGGTTGCTGCGTACATCGGTTAGATGACCAGCCGACAGCAAAAGACGGCTAGAAAAATGTTCTGTCCTAGCTTTCGACTTTCCAGCAGTCCCACCAGGGATTAATTTACGAGACAATTGTTTGATCACTCAGAGACTAGCTTAGAATAACTTAGAATAACACATAGGTTTTCTTATCCTTTCCTTATATATATATATATATATATATATATATATATATATATATACAGGATGTAATGTTAATTAGCTCTCATGTTCACTTCTGTCTAATCGATGTTAGTCTATTGGGATTACTTTCTTTTTTTTGTGCGCTAAACTGGAATTTCGTAAATCTTTCTTGTTGTGACTACACACTACATTTCAACATAAAGTTAAGCATTGAAATTTCCCCAAGATTTAGACAGATTGCTTTAGGAAAAGAAAGAACAATTATTCAACTACAGGCGGAGTCATGGATGACGTCAAAACGAGAGTGAGAAAGACAAGACAGACATTTATATTACTCTGAAATCGATTTGGAAATCTTATGCATTGCACTCAGCCAACATAAAGAACAAGATACGGATTTTCAACACCAATTTTAAGTCAATGAGCTCTTCTATATGGGTCAGAGACTTGCACTGCGCTTGCGTCACGAAAAGTATTTTGAACAGGCTATTGTAGACTATTGTCAACAACTGGCTCCATATTAAAGATCGAATGGCTAGAATGATTTAGAAACAAGAAACTCTGGCTGGGAACAAACCAACGAAGAGCCGATTGCTCAACAAATATGTAGAAGAAAATAGGAATGGATTGGGCTTACACTGAGGAGACCGTTGAATGACATTGCGCACCAGTCCATCGCTCGATTGGAACCTGAATACGAAACAACGAGTTGGGCTTGTTCCAAGGGTGATATGGAGGAGATCGTGTGAGTAGGAGATGAAAGCTTATGGGAAATGATGGAGCCACCTAAAAGGACAGGATGAAATAGAGATGTGATGTTGAAGCCCTTTGTTCCAACGGGAACCGAAGGGAATAATACTAGATCAATCACTTTATTTATTTATATTGTCAAAATGTCTCAATGATACTTTAATGGCGCTTTTGATAATTTCATCTTATAGGTTTCAAGTTAAATTCTATAATGAGTTCAGTTTGTACAAACGAAAGATTTTGATATTTGAATAAAAGATACACAGAATTGATGATAGATAGTTAGATGCAGTCAATAAGACACCCCTAGACCATGGTTTCCTACTTGTTGACAGTTGCCAGCAACCTTGGGGAAGATTTAAACGCACATCATCTGGTACTTCATGTGGAGATATTACTAGTTAGCTATTTGCGTTCCGAGTGGAACGTAGGGCTTCAACCTTAAGCGTTGAGGTTTCAGTAGCAATGGTGTTTGTTTTTTAAGGGATTGGGTTGCTAGCCTCATGCCAACTTTTCCTCTTTACTGACTTACTGATATTGTTTAACGGGAAGGGGTGTTAGGCATGCGTGCACTGGAGATCAAACCACAGACCATGTAAGGTGTGCTTAGCGAGTATTCTACCACTGAATCACCTATCCTGCTTTCATACAATTCACATGAATATTATCAGTAATAAAGACTAACGAATAAAAATTGTTTTCTCATTCACTTTTCTGAATTTGAAACCAACTTTACTTGTTGCTTATGCAATCGATGTTTCCCTTGGGTTCCAAGTGGAAAATAAGGCTTCAACAACACATCTCCACTCTCTTGTATTCTCTGCCGTCCCCTTCAGCTGGGTCCACGATTACCCATAATCTCTGATCTCCGCCTCCAACTCACTCGATCTCTCCTCCATGTCACCCTCGCACCGAAGACTCATTCGTCGCCCCCTCCATTAGGATTCTACTCGACCGATGGCCGCATTGTGCGCGATGTCATTCGACGGCCTCCTCAACGTCTACCCGATCCATCCATCTCCATTTTCTCCTGAATACTTGTTGAGCAATCGAATTTTCGTTGGTTTGTTCCCAACCAGAGCTTCTTCTTTCTAATTCTTCCAGACCAGCCGGCATTTGATATTTAGTATAGAGCCAACAAAGGCATCTTTTGATGAAAATCTGAAACACACAGTGCAACTTTCTGACGCATATAGAAGAAGCGCTCATTGACTTCACATTTATATTGAAAATTCGAATCTTGTTCTTTACTCTGGGTGAGTGAGTGCAGAAGATTTCCAAACTGGTTTTAGGTTGATGATGATGATGGCGTATCTCGTCTTTCCGATTTTGGCTGGCTTTGACATCCTGGAAATATAGAAATCCTATGAAATTTTGATGTATACTACATTGTAAAATGAATTCTACTATTGTGTAAACAAATGTCGATTGTGTTAGGTTATACTTTTGCTTCTATCCTCTACTCCAATCCATTTGAACTCAATTCATTCACAGATAATAACAATAATAAGTTTAGATTTCTTCTACTTCTCTTTTCTCTGCGTAATAAATGACTACTAAAGGCCAGAATAGCCTGTCTGTTAGTTTTTGTTAAATTTCGAAGATTTGAATTGAATATTTGCAGAGTTGAAAAGTATACACTGTTGTGTTGAATAGGGTTTTCCTCTCTATTTACTTAACTATTCGTAATACTAGAAGACTGTCGAGTACAGTGTACTTGGGATCGAGGTTAGATGGTTGGTAGGTTTCCTGCCGATTGGCTCTAACCATTTGACGTTGTTTCCAAGTGCACTATGATGGACAGTCAACTAGTTTGGTGGATCACACTGACAAAATTAACCCACTAAGGATGACTAATCTCTTTCTAACCATTCAATGTAACCATAATAATTAATGTAAGATGGATTACACAACTTTTTATTATTATTTTTTGGGTAACTCAAACTATGGTTACCCAAATGAACAGACGTAGTGATGAATTTGACCAACTAATCATATGGGCACATAGTAAATACACGGAGTTATAGACGCCAGTACACAAATTACGTTGTAGATCTCATTCAGATCTGTTATTTCAGTACTGTTTGGGTAATAAGGCTCATAGGAAGGGATAAAGCATGTAGATGTGACAGAGTAATGCATTTGCAGATATATGCAGCCGCTGCTGATTGGTATATTCATAAATCTGTTTGTAAAGTTATGTCGTCCTTTTTGGGGTTATAGATGGTGCAGGTACTTTCTTCGTCAAATCGAGTTTCTTTCAAAGAGAATTCTCATGACGTGCCAAAACTGGATCTTGAAACGACCAGTAACAGCAACAACATTCGAGACATAAAATTCACAGGTGTTTGTAATGCAGTGGTATCAGCACTGTAGAATGAAAATGAACAATATGACTCATATAGTTGGTAGTGTCCAAGTCATTGTTCATCTAAACGAAACAATCCTTCTGTCTGTCTGTTTTTGACGAAGAACTTTGCACCGATGTGCAGCACTTCAAGTTGCCGTACTCCATGTAGCACACAAAGCGCGAGAAGAAAGTAAAAAGAAATACAAAATAAAGACAGTAGACAGGGATATGAGACAAAAGGAATAGTAATAACGAAGAATAATATAGTTTCATCTGAAATTATAAGTCACAAGAAGTGGAGGCATCTGCGCCAACCATCGAGAACGATTTTGAGCCATATCACCGATTGTTTCCAGTCATTGGTTTTTACCATTCCGAGGACCCCAACCAGTTAGTCAAGAACTCTTCACCTTTTCATGTGGCTTAAAGTAACTGCTGTAGATTTCATTTACTGATGAAGTCATGTTTTGGTTTGACCACCGCTGGCCGGCTCTTTTCCAGCCTGATCCTATGTCAGCTAAGATTACCCGTCGAGACAAAAAAGTGCTTATAAAAAGAAAGTATAATTGTGGTAGACTGAGTGACGATCTGGAATGGATTTTGGGCTTGTATGGCACAACATTGGAGAAAGAATAGATGGAGACGACGCCTGACCGTAGTGCTAATGTTTTATGATCTATTATCCAACGTATAAATATATATACACAGATCAATGGAGTAGTTAAGGTCAAGCCTCATCTCTCAGCTAAATTCACAATGTGGTCAATCATGCCGACAATTTTGTTAAACCTTTCAATGAAACAAACACACAAATTCTATCGAAGGTTTTTGGTATCATTTAAAAAGGAGAATTAAAGCGGTAAATGTGCTATGAAAACAGGATGATATACAGTTATCTGGATGAATTTATGTACGGAAATTGATTTTGACCTATCGATAAAGATTCCAACAAGGAATTGTGAGGTTCTCTCGGAAAACATACTAGCAAATTACCTTTATCAAAAATACATTTCTATGGAAAATTTAAATTGTGCGCTTTTACTTTGGCCTCACTTGATTGGTTGATAAAAATCTGTCAAGGTCATTATGGCGGTTGTTGGTTCATTTGAGTCACTAAAATATACAGTTACACTTATATGTTTGATAATTTTAACCTATATTTTCTCCCTTATTTCATTTGGTGTGTTTATTAGATCAAAATGGAATCGTTGTACCAGAGATAAAACCAACACAGATTATCTATCCAAAATATCCTAAAATAAGTGATCAAATTGTACATAAAACTAGCACAAAATTATATCATCATCATTCTAAAGAACAACCACCAGCAATACCCAATGAAATGATGAATGGTACAGCCAGTTTGATTTCAGAACCACGTCTTGAAAGAATGACCTATGAAGGATCAATGTGTTCGCTGAATGATGCCGCCGCTGTTATAAATACCCTAAAGCGTAAATCAAAAGAAAGCACTCTTACTGGTAAGAAGACACAATCGAATGTCCCCGTAGAAGTAGAAGTAGTAGTAGGAAATAATTCTCAATCCATTGTAACCACTGCAAAACAAAAATTACTCAATAATAATGATTCTACAACATTACAAACAGGTAAACTACACCTAACACAAACAACACCTATACGTTCAACTCTTACACCGAAGGATATTTCAGAGCCTTTATTACAAACAACTACATATAATGAAACATTGTCAGATTTACAAACAGCTAGATTAAAATTGTCTCAAAAAGTATTTGAACTTTAATTTCGGGTGAATGGGCCCCTTGGGCCTACTTGCTACCCCCACCCACCGCCTGTCCATTCTTTCTTTCAATAGTTCTAATACTCTTTATTGTTCTCGTTTGAGTTCTTCATTTCATTCCATTCCATTAGCCCTAGTTGTATTATATACACATACATATATATTACATTGCTGGTTTTTCTATGACAATGATGATGATTGAGTGAGTACAACTCTTTTGTTATACTTTATATTATGATTATAATATTTATTTGTTTATAGATATTTATATATGCGCGCGCATATAAAAAATGTGTGTGTGTGGTTTTTTCACTGATATATTGTGATATTCTAGTCATGTTTGAAGTGTACTTTTTTTTGCTTGCCGTTTTATTTAGTTCCAATCATTCTCAGTTTTATCAACAATGAAAATTTCTTTCCCTTTTTTTCTACTTTAATTATTAATTATTATTAATTATTAAAAAGAAACTAGGTAATTATATCTATATGTGCGCTTGTGTTTGTCTATTAAAAATCAAATTCCAAATCTCAACGAATTTTATTATCATTATTGTTATTATTGGTGTTACCATGGGTGTTATTTCCCACCTCTCCCAGGTATATATATTTGTTTGTATATTCATATAGGATGTTGTATTGTAGAGTAGACTCACTCACTCACAGGAGAATTGAGATTGTCGGAAAAACACACACGCACAGAGAGAGAGAGAGAGAAAAGCAACGCACTTTCCTTTACGTGTTTTTCCAGTGGGGGGGGGGGGTGGCACAATGAATGCAATCTCTAGCCATTTTGACTTTCTCTCTTTCTTACTCGCTTGCTTGCCGGCTTCCTCCCGTCTTTCTTAATCTATTTTATGTATGACGCGCAGTTTTTATGTTTCATTTTGGATACCTTTTGGCTTTTTAGTTATTATTATCACTATTATTATTATTATTATTATTAATGATTGTATTAACAGACAACAATGAGAATAGACTTTATATTTATTTATTGCTTTAAATGAAGAAATTAACACACTCACACACACACACATAAACACACCTTGTTCTTTCTACAATTCCACTCTCCTGTTGATTAACTAACTGATTAATTCCACGAAAGCCTTACACTCACTGCTTAGCCCCCAATTCATCCAACTCACCCATCCATCCGCCAGCTATCTATCTATCTCCGGCGTACTCTCTTACATATTTTATACTCCTTAATTTATAGTAGTAGTAGTAGTGATCATGATGCATAGAAATAAGGCGATTCATGTGAACCTATTGACAGGTGCTTGTTTCCGTCAGCTATGACAAGTAAGAAACGCTCCCTTGCTTTCCTTCTGTCTCTATTTCTCTCTGTTGCATTAACATATTGACAGTGATGTAAATATATTTTTGTATCCTAATTAGTGATAGTAGTAATTCAACACAAGGCATATTCTGTTGTCTTGTCTTTTATTTTTATAACATTCTAGGCTCTTTTTAAGTATAATCAGACATGCAGGGGTACAGACTAGGCTAGACAGTCAGACTATGTGGGGTGGCAGGGGAGGAGAAGGAGATAAAGAGGCGATAGGAAGCTTTCCTGTTCCTAATCATTTCATACATCATCATAGACATATTTTTTTTTCTTCTAGTGATTGTTAACTCTGTGTGTGTGTGTCTGTTGCTCAGGTTTTCTTGTTTTCTTTTGCTTTTTTCTCCTGTTTTTTGTTGTTGTTGTTTTGTTTGGTTGTAACCTGTTTGTTCACCTTTATATATATATGCCTATATATGTGTGTATGTATGTGTGTATATCAACGAATCAGCTAATTGAAAATAATAAAAATAAATAATCAAGTTGTTATGTCGTGAAAAAAATTTGTATTTTTCATTATTCTCTTTTTTTCACAAAAAGTTTGTTTTCTGTAATTCAACAGAGAAAAAGGATCAGACAGTGATCGGGTTACATATATATATATATACAAATTCGCCTTTAATCGCGCTTGTTGATAGAATACAGTGATCTATCTCTCTGTTCTGTGATTTTGGTGATTATGTCATCTGTTTGTGATTATTGTTGTTGATGTTGTGGTTTTGAACAATATCACGAATACCACCAGTCTGGAAAACAAAAGTGATTTGTTTAAAACTTCACATTTACATTCGAATTATGTTGTTCATTTATTTCACGACACAAAAACTGAATAGTAAGTTGATTTGTAAGGATTAGTTTTGTTTTTATGAGTTGATCATGGATTGATATCATTTAGAGAACCATTAAAAACCAGTATTGGAGTACTGGCAGCCAGCTGTTTCATCCTAGTTTGGGAATCTTCAAAAGTATGTACTGGATTTTGGACGCAGGACCTTCTGCTTACAAGGCAAACTCGTATGCTGTGGTCAAACTCGAAAACAACAAATCTAATCCTTACAAATTGACTCTTGACAATAAATCTGATGCTTGCTAGTGACTTGCTACAAGATGGAGTGCCCTGGAGTTATAGTGAGAAGTCGTGACCAGTGAGATACAACAAGTCAAGTGTGTGGTTGGGTCTCCTACTGATGACATGGGTTGGTGGTCGTGCTAAATCACGAATTGGTAGAAGTTAGAATTCATGGGCTGGCCATTGAATCGGGTCCCAGCGGCTAAAATGCTATACGAGCTAGCTTGCCATGTAACCAGAAGGTCCTGGGTTTGAACCCTGGTGGTGGGTGCGTACTGCCGATGATTCCCAAACTAGTTGGATAAAACAGCTGGCTGTCCAGTACTCCTTGGCTGGTTTTCAATGGTTCTCTAACTGATATCAATCCGTGATCAACTCGTAAAAACAAAAACTGAAATCAACTACGACTGGGAGAGGACTATTTGAAAATAAAGAAATGGCTTCAACTGTTTCGAAATTGTGGACTCAGAAACTCTAGAGAAAGATCGAACTTTTCATCAGTTCCTTTGACCAACATATCACCGTTTAAATAATATGATGTTTTCTAATGGTCTATGTTTGTCAATTTCCATAGTCTTGTTGTAAAATGTCATCAAATACAAATCGTTACCAAATTTTCCCAGTTCCAATTTGATAGATCCTGTAGAGTGGGAATTTGCTGTCTAAATAGCCCAGAAGTTATCAATAATAAAAAAAGTATGTCTATAGATAGTGCGCTTCCGCGGTTCAAGGGTAGAATGCTCGCTAATGTATTCATGTGGTCTGGGGTTCGATTTCCGACCAACGGTCTCCTGAACCCCACCTAATTTATAGGCCAATAATAATCCATGAAAAGAGGTGAGGCTCAGTGTGAAGCTGAAAACCTCATTCCGTATAATGACACGCCACTGTTCGCGAAACTTCAAAATTCATGTTTGAAGCCCTGTGCTCCACTCGAAACCCTAAGGAATCGAGAACAATGTCATTTATTTTCAATGACACTATCAGATGTTGGTACGTAACGACATTCCAATCAAAGTCAAATAAACTACTGTAAACATAGTAGATTAATTCGTCTGATTTTCTACTTAAATATTGTTTTCCATCATAAATTGCTAAGTTAAAAATTAACATGAACGAAGAATACTCTTTCCTGTAAACTCTCTTCAGGTACTAACTGTACAATACAATATAGAATATGATTTCGGATTTAAAATCAGACTAGTTTCAAGCTCTGGTGAATCAGGGGTTGAATAACCGTCAACCATGTACATGGTCTAATTTCGGTTCCCAGTCGGACGCATTTCTAAACCTCGCCTAGCTAATAGCCCTGGGAAAGAGAGAAGAGTGGACGTGAGGCTAGCAACCTCAACTCGCAAAAAAATAATCACCACTGCTACTGAAACTTGAAGCTCTGTGTTCCACTAGTAATGCAAAATGTGGGAAAACTATTTCATCTTAATTCGGAATTTCTACACCAGTACACACTGTTAAGACAGATAACCTATCGTTGTTACCCATCGAGTCACGACTGATACATGCATTGACATGATAATCTGATTGGACAGCTGGTTTATTTTTGGCTCAAAATTTCCAAGGATTTTGAAGGTCATTCAACCAGTCAGATATTTATTGCTTAAATTTCCAAAGAATTGTAAATTATATACACCCTGTAATAATAAAACTTTACTGTTGGCACAGTTGAATCTGACTATTGTATCCCTCCTTTCCAATGTGGGGAATATTTTCAAGTGATCCGGTGGTCTGGTTGTACATTCAAGTCAAGTTGGACGACAATCACAAAGTAGTAACAGTCTATTATGTCACACCATCGACCAACCGACTAATAAACATCCAGAATTAGCAATACTGGTGTGACAAACTTTCACCTGCAAGATTACTGAATAGAAACACATGAGATTTTATCATTCTTTACTATGATATGTGGATGATGAGAAAAAGAAATAGGATAAATAAAAGATGTTTTTTTTCATAGCTTGTAATAAGCTCGACATCTGCTATGTTCTTTGTCTCCAGTTGAAATGAATTCGTCTATAGTTGATATGGTTGAGTGGATTTATGTATGGGTATAATAATACTGTCAGACGGCATTCCTGTCGAAGCACTGAAGACGACCCCAGAGATTATGGCAGATGTTCTCACTCCATTACTGCAAAATAAGGAAAAGTGGCTACTGATTGGGAGTAAACACTGGCTACCTCGATAGCGTGGACCGAGTAGTAATTCGGAAACTACTTCAATACTACGGCGTACCTCAAGTCTTTGTCAATCTCATTCAACAGCTATATAACAATGCCACGTATCAGGTTTTCCACAATGGAAGACTCAGCGAGGCGCTCGAAGTGAATACAGGAGTATAAGACAAGCGGGCTGCCCATTATCACCGATGATATTCCTAATTGTGGTGGACTGGATTATGCGTCATACTATTGGGGGCGAGGAGTCAAGAGTACGCTGGACGACTGATAAGAAGACTCTAGAAGATCTGGATTTCGCAGATGATAATATGTCTGATGTCACATAAACTCGATGACTTGCAAGCAAAAACCAACAAGCTGGTTATGAAGAGGCAGCGAAAACAGGACTGCAGGTGAAGAGAGAGAGAAGACGGAGGTGATGAAGATAACCAACAACCAGCACCAATCACCATCAAGTCAGAATCGGAAAGTCGAGATACGCCTTCATCAATATGAAACCAGTTTGGAAATCTTCTGCAATCAACATATGGAGCGAGATTCGCATTTTCAAAACCAATTTGAAGTCTATTCTTCTATACGGGTCAGGAACTTGGCGTGTCACGAAAAGGATTTCTAACAAGTTACAGACTTTCATCAACAGCTGTCCACTTTGCTGACTGGCTCCATACCGAAAATCAAGTGGCCAGAAAGAATCAGCAACAAGAAACTATGGGAACAAACCAACCAAGAGCCGATTGCTCAACAAATATGTAGGAGAAAGTGGAGATGGTTCGGGAATACATTGAGGATGCTGCCGAATGATATCGCGCGTAATGCAGGCCATCGCTCAAGTAGGATCTAAATGGGAAACGACGAGTGGGTCGTCGGTACGAGGGTGACATAGAGGAGATCGTGTGAGGAAGAGATGAGAGTTCGGTCAATCATGGGCCCAGTTGAAGAGGACGGCGAAAAACCGAACAAAGTAGAGATGTGTTGTTGAGGCCCTATGTTTTACTCGGAATAATAATAATACTGATGCAATGGACAACTCGACTTTGATATGCTAAATATACCTATTCGTCCCTAGTACCACCTTCCGCCTCACTGAGCCACGGTAAATATCAAAAGAAAAAGACTGACTTGTGATTGTTAGGGTGCAATAATTTTTGAGGAAAAAAAGCACGTCTTATTCATATACTTTTAACCATAATTTGTCTAGGTCAGTGGAAAATAGATTGTTCTGAATGGCTGGTGATTGGCCCAGGCCAAGGTAAGAAAAAGATGATGAAATCCGATCACAAAATGATTACTGTTTTAAACCGCTTCCTATAAACATCAAATACAGTTCAGAAACTATATGCAGATTACTGTGATAGGTCCCCAATCTTAGAGGTCATGGCATGGTTTCAATCTGTGACCTGTCAACCACAGCTCATCATGCAAATTGGTGTTAGGTGTTTGGAGGCGATCGGGAGGATGCCTTGGACCTAGGTTCCGTGTTTGTCAATACTTGTCAACAAGGCATACCTCTGCAACTTTGGAAGAACTGATGCCTCCTGGGCGATTCGAATCCATATCACCCCTTGTACAGTAGTCAGAGGTGTGAGCTATTCACCCTCACGACAGACCTCTTATAGGAATATTCTAGATGCATCGATCACTTACAGGTGTCAAGGTGCATGGAACCTAGATCCAAAAGACCGTGACGACAACCTTCAACGACTCAACAATACCTGAAGTACTGAGTCACCTAGTTTAGTGTGAACCAAGGCAAAGAATTAATATAAACATGATATATTCGTTACTCCTGATTATTCGTGACCAATCGATGTACTTTGTTGAATGACACTTTTTATAAAAAATTTTAAAAATGACAATCACATGATTATTTATATAATTTATTATTTACATTATTATGGTCAACTAACACATGTGACAATTTTTGTGATAACTTTAGTGGACATCATTCACAATTAAAAAGTCACAAATATAATAATTAACTCTTTAAGAATATGCATATATGTATATATCCGTTCTAAAATAGATCCTTATCATATGACTTGATGTTATATTCTTATTGTTGTCGAACTAACAGCATGAAGCATAATTATCTCATGCCATCATCACAGCTATACACCAAGTCCTCTGTTTGTTTGTTTTTATTTTAAAATTTATTTTAAATTCCCTTTCATCTCTTACAGATACAAAATCGAACTTTTTATTATTATCATTGTTAGTAATGATATTATCAAAGTGTGCCATCAATTGATGCCCATTTTTTGTCTTTTTGTTGATTTACACACTGGGCTTCCAACCCTCAGAGTTACAGATTCGAATCCCCTAGTTTATAATCACAGAATGATATCAGTTAGAGAACCGTGGAGGGAACAACCTGGATGTACTGGACAGTTGGTTCATCGTAGCATACATGTGTGACCCCACTGTCAAGGATCGAACGCAAGACCTTCAGGTAGCGAGATGAGCTCATTTATCATTCAGCTATTGGGATAGAAATCCAATGTCCCATGAATTCTAACTTCTATCAGTTGAAGACTTTTAGAGCCACCGCCAACCATTGTCATCGCTGGCGAGTATTTGCGTCTACACCTGACCCAGTGGACCCCAGCGATCACAACTTCTCACTAGAACTCTAGGTAACTAACTACGTCATATAGCCACCAGTGTTTTAAAGCAAAACGCTGAAATCAAATAATGCAAATTACACCATGAGGCAATATAATCAACTTACTGTAATCTGATAATATCCTACACCACATGGTCTACCAGGATGCTTAATTAATCGAACTTGACGACATCCATTTGATAAACGTGTTAAGAACACTCGAACAGAACAAATATGTCCCCAACTATCTCCAAGTGCAGGAACTAAACATGAACTTTGATCATATTTATTGCTAAATTGTTCTTGTTCAGGTATACAATTGGATTGACCGGAATTCAAATGTTTTGTATCAAATCTTGTTGTAATTTGATTGGTAAGAATAACCTATCAAGTGAAAGATACTTGAAAAAATTAGATCGTTGACAAGGAATTAAAGTGGAGCTGTATAAAGGCGTGTACGTTAGTGTTTAAGGTTCAGCAGTAGAATGCTCGCCAAATACGCCTCCTATGGTCTGGGGTTCGATCCCTGACCACTGACCCACTGCTAAATCTCAGCGGACCAGTAATGTAAGGCCTGTAAAGAGGGAAGGTTCAGAGTGAAGCTAGCGCGATCCTACCTCGTAAAAATAAAACCCCTGCTACCGAAACCTCAAAGGTCTAGCTTTAAGTCCTATGTTCCACGTGGAACGTAAAGGAATAAAATTAAATGTACTACACTACCAAGATCAGATTCAGAAATGGAAAGAGACGTGCACTGTACTGTGAACGCGTACACTCCAGTTTGCATTTGTGCGTGTGTGTGTGTGGCCACATGTACATATGGAGGATCAATCAGTATCTAACAGTCAAAGCTACAGAGAATATATCTACTGATAATTCAGTTACGTAACTAGAGGTTATTTACATTCTATTGTTATCACTTTCCTTTCTCTGATCATTTCTAATTTCTACCCTTAAGAAGTGACTGACTGGTTTAAACATAGAATCCTGCACAGTTCAGCTGTTTACATTTGCTAAACTCCATGTAGCACAGAAACGAAGATAAAAGAGAGAAAAAGGAGACTCGAAAGGACAATAATAAGCAGAAATGTGAGGGAAAAAAGAGCAGTAACATGGAAATTCATAAGGGTTTTATTGGATATGGGCAGTCACTAATAGCGAAGGTATCTGCTCTACAGGGAACGATTTTCAGCTATATCACCAACTGTCTCCAGTCATTGATTCTTAGAATCCTGAGGACCACAACCTCACCGAATGATATTCCTTCCTTACGTAACACTCAACATCTAACTTCAATATTACTCACCATGTTATACCAACTAATATGGGAGATAGGAAGCAGGTACCTATGATCAAAGACAGCTTATCAGGCTTTTCATGCCTTCCACTTTCAGTGGCCACGTTTCACAGCGATAAAGGACAATAGAGCAAACTGTTAAATAGTACACACGTTCTTTGATCGATAGCCAGATATCACGTTCTTAAGAAATTATCTTCCACGTGCTGGGTGGTAGGGAACTGATCGATTGTAGGTAAGATTTCTTCATGGATCAGTATGATTTACAGAACTATTGAAAATCCTAGATAGATTAATGGACCGTATATTAGCTAGAATACCATTTGATGACCAATATAAGTTGACAGCTGCAAGTGAAATGCAACAAGTTGGCAGAAGAAGTATCGAAGATAGGACTTCAGGTGAACATACAGAAAACAGAGGGGATGAAGATTCCTGGCCAACAGCAACAACAACAACAGACAACAATCAGCACAAATCGAAGGAATCCGAAAGAAGCGACCTCCCCTACTTACCTGGGAAGCATCGTTTCAACTACAGGCGGAACTGATGAGTATACCAAAGCGAGGATCAGGAAAGCAAAGCAAGGTTTCATTACTCTCAAGTCTGTGTGAAGGTAAACACCACTCAACATGAAAATGAAAATAAGATCCCGATTTTCAACTCCAATGGGAAGTCAGTGCTACTATACGGATTAGAGACTTGACCAGCGCGTCATAAAGAGCATCTCAAACAAACTACAGACCTTCATTAACAGTTGTCTCCGCTTAATATTCAAGGTCAGATAGCCAGAAAAGATCAACAACAGGGATCTCTAGGAGCGAACCTACCAGAAACCAATTGTGCAACAAATATACAGGAAGAAGTGGAGGTGGATTGTCTGGCCACAATCTGAGAAAACCAAGTGACAAGTGACATCACACACCAGGCTATCGCTAGAGTGGAGGCCGAGTGGGAAGCGGCGAGTTAGTCGTTTGAAGGTGACATGGAGGAGGTCATGCGAAAGGGAGATGAAAGCATGTGGGCGGACGTGAAAACGTTGGCGGTTGAAGCCTTATGCTCTTCTGGGAACTAAAGGAAATAATAATAATAGTATATTGACAACAGTTTAATGACAAATATTAACCAATCAATTAGCGAGAAATTAATAACCTAGTGACGGCGAAAATAAGCCAACCAATCAGGATGCAGTAATCGACAGACAATTAATTCGAGCTAGTAAACTTGGTCAGCTGATCTGAAGTTGGTTTAAATAATTAACTGAATTTAAGCAAACGGAAGGAAAGTAACATATTAATTGATCAGTAATAATAATAACAATAATTCATTAACTAACTGTTGCTTGTTGACGTCCAGCAATGCCAAGTAAGGTTTGTGCTACACTAGCCAACAATCGATTACGTTGTGGTATATCATCAAAGTCATAACGAAATGGCAGAGCGATACTATCAACGACTATTAATCGGATCTAAAAATCAAGTTGAATACAGAGAGACAGAAAGCGAGAGAAAGTTGTTTGCAGTGCACAAAATGAAATAAGATTTTATTAGTTATCTTTCGATTTAACAATAAGAATATGTCATTTGTCTGAATATCTGTCCAACCGTATCAATTGAGATGCCGACAACACATGTCGAGCCACCGTCTTCCTCGACAAGTGATGTTAGCTGATATACGACTAGATTGAAAAAGACTTATACGTGGAAAAATCAAAGCATGGCATTATTTCATGAAGTTCTGAATTGTTGATTTGGGTCACCCAGACAGTAGTCTTGCCTGTAGTCCTAAAAACGTAGTCCTTGAGTGGACATAGGTATTATTTTCTCTCTTCATTAACTGGGTGATGTTTAGTCACCCGTTTTGGGTGGGTAGGTCTAGGCAAAGGAGTCAGCCAGCTGCATGACCAAAGCACATATCTAATAGAATAAATGACCATAAAACAATCATGAACTCTATTTTTTAGTTAGGGCCGATGGGAGAACAGTTAATATGGTGAAGAGATGCATAGATAAACGTAGAATTTCACATGGAAGTATGCTGATTTATACTGGCTTAAATTGCAACCGCGCGTCAGTGATCAAATCATAGAATGGTCACCAGCCACACATGATCCAAGATTCAATTGCAGGCTGGTGTCCTTTTAAACCCTCGCTTAACAGGCAGTAAACTCGTTAAAGTGGGACGGTTGGGCTTGAGCCTTACAAATACACTCCATAGAAGAACGCAAAGGAATTGAAAAATTGCATTACAACTGCACAAAGGGAAAACTTACACAAGATGAGAAAGTGACCGAAAGAGGCATGTTGGTGAGTGAATGAATAAATGAATGAAATAAACTATAGAATATCATTAATCAACCTTACAAATGTATTTCATTCTAGTTATTCATTTATTATAGTGTCACATAAAATGACTGACGGTGTAATACACGTGACTAGGCTATCCAAATTATATTGTTTTCTTAGAGGTTAATTGGTGGATGGTGACTAGCAGTGGAATCCAGGATGCGTATTTCATCCTATCCGGGACTAGTCACCTGGATGTTCCTGCATTCCACAGTGAGTGATGATGTTCCCATCGAGGCTCAAGTCCAGTACCGATAGTCTCAGACGCCAAAGCGTTATCCACTAGACCAATTGGGCCACAAGACCGAGCACTTCGGTCCAATCAATCGACAGGAAAATCTGAGGTTCAGTTATATATTATTTTTTATTATTTTATTTCTTAGCTTTCCGAGTGGAACATACGGCTTCAAGGTTCAGCTTTCACTTCCCTATATAGAACTTGCCACTGGTTAAGCGAGGTTTGGGAGTGCCCTGGCTGGCGATCGAACCCCGACCACGTTTGTGGTTGGTTGCTCAAATACACTAGGATAAAACCGTCTACTACTGATTGACTCAGATGAGTAGTTGCGTACCACTCATATCAACCAGCAGTGTTTGTTAGCCAGATCGAGGTGACCTAAACACTGGAGGCCATTCCACACCTCTGGGATTGGCTGAGCCCATCTGCACTGAAACCGGTCTGACTCAGCTCATAAGGCTGAGTCACTTCAAACTACCGAATACATTAGGTTTATTGTGTTCGAATTCTAGTTCACTCACAGTCCCATGTATTCTGAATGACTTAGCAACATGCTTAGTTATACTGTAAGGAAGTAAAGACCGATGAAGCTAGAAGGGATGTTTATTAGGGAAAACTGATTGTAGGTACAAAAATTCGATATTTTCTTATTAAGTTCCCAGTGGAAAGTAGAGGAATTCAAGCTAGAGGGATCGAATCCTAGACCACCTATATGGTCAACGAGCACCCAACCGCTGTGCGACAGACACACATTTGGTATACCATATCTCTAATATTTTAGTTGCACATCTTATGCAAAATCGGTCGAATATCACCAAATTTGATAGTTTGTTGGGCTCTACACAGTGATTCTAACGTTTTTCGTGAAGTTCTATTCTTCTATTGCTTTTTCCAGTGTCGGAAACGTATTGTTGTTTTTTTGAACTCGTTTACTTATATACTACTTATATCTGATTACAAGTAGCACTCATCACAATACCATCATCACAGGCAATGAAATGAAATACAGATTGATTGCACGAAAAAGAAAACAACAAAAACAACAGCTTACCAATGGATGTTGTTCACAAAATTGTTCAAGATGTTGACAAACAGCCAGCAACTTCAAATGATCTTGGATTCGTATGTAGTGAATACCAGACATTATACTTTCAACACTTGGACAATGTTGTTGAATGGAAAACTCATCAGAATTCTCTGGATCTATATGAAAATACAAATAATCAGTTTATTCAATCTAACCTTACTTCAACGGATAACCTTAACAATGCAAGACAACTCAATAAATGAAAAAAAAACAAAGAAAGAAAAAGATGAATGACCACTTCACAAAAGTGATACATCCACAATGCAGGGTTTAACTTAAATTATAAAAGCTCATATGCTGGTTTCAATTGGTGAACTAATTGCATAGTGAATCAGTGTTTTCTATAACAGTATTGGGAAAAAAATATTCAGTAGGGATGTCTTGGAAGTAATGTGGAAACTGCTGAAACATTGTGGAGTGTCCCAAACATTTATCTACCTCATTCAACAGCTATATGATGATGTCAGATGTCAAATGATTCACAATAGGAAACTTAACGAAGCCTTTGAAGTAAAAATGGGAGTTATCTAAGGCTTCCAACTATCACTGATTGTATTTCTAATTATGGTGAACTGGGTTACGTAACAGACCGTTGGAAGCGAGAAGACAGACAAACGTTGTGCCAACAAGACGACTCTAGAACATCTGGCCTTCTTGAACGTGTCATAGAAAAACTTGAAGATCTACAGGCGACAACCAACATTCTGGTAGAAGAAGCAGCAGCAGCAGCCAAGACACGATTTCAAAGGAAGATAGAGAAGACAGGCTATGAAGATGCCTAAGCAACAAACATCAACATAAAGCACTAATCATTAAAAACGGGAAAAATCTAGAGAAAGTCACTTCTATCACTTATCCAGACAGTACTTGTTTAACTACGGGGTGCACGGATGAAGATGTCAAAACTAGGCAAGATCAAAAAGCAAGACAGACCTTCACTACACTAATATCAGGATTGAAATCTGCAGAATAAGAATAAGGAATAAGATTCCGTTCATCAATACTAATTTTAAATTAATTCGCCCGATACGGACGAATAATGACTGATTGACTGACTGGTTTCAACATAGAACTTTGCACAAATGTGCAGAAGTTCGAGTCGCCACTCTCCCTCCATGTAGCACATGAAGCCAGAGAGCAAAATCAAAGAAATGCAAAATAGAGACAGTAAAGAGATATATCAGACAAAAAGAATACTAGTATGAAAGAACAATGTAGTTTTATTGTATATTATCAGTCACAAGGAGTGGATGCATCTGCGCCATCATCGAGAAAGATTTTGAGCCATATCACCGACTGTCTCCAACCATTGGTCTTTATCGTCCCCAAGACCCAAACCAGGAAGTCTATACCTCCCTAAGTGACTTAAATTAACTGTTGTGAATTTTATTGACTGATGAAGCAATGTTTTCGTTTGATCACCAATGGCTGTTTCCCAGCCTGATAGTATGTCAGCTAACATTGCCTGTTGTCGAGGAAGGCGATGGCTAGGCATACGTAACACATGTTCTAACCATCTCAGTCGGTATAACTTCACAACCTCGTCGATTGACTTCCCCTTCCACCTACCCAGCACTCGACCAAAGCCTAACCTCAATATTGTTCACCCTATTACACCTACCACTTCACACGGGAGATACAACGCAAGCACCTATGGCAAGGTCTCACAGCCATAAAGGAGGACGGAGCGGACTGTTGAGCAGTACACACGTCCTTTGGTCGACAGCCTGCCGGATATCACGTCTACATCACAGACGGTGTAAACTGGCATATGTGAAACTGGCCTTCTGAATCAGTGCTGAGATTTTGTCGGCGATCAACCCGATGTCGTCGGTTGATGCAACTTCCCAAATAAGTGAAGCAGTCAACGTGCTTTACCAATTCACTCCCTATTTCTAAGCTAGGAATAAATAATATTATAATTTAGTAGCGTACAACCAAGGTCCTAAAGCATATTTGAATGTTAAAAACAACCTCTTCGCAACGAGACAATCATATCTTTGCTTTCACATATGGTTGGGAATGTGTGCTTATTGACAGAATTATACTAGGGAGTAAACAGATATCCAATATTCTTTTATTTTCAGTAATTCTCCGATTTATATCACCCCATCATGAAAAGTTCTGCAGTTTCAATTTAATCTTTCGAAAATGCAGAGACTTTAAGCACTGGACATTAAGTGAAAGTTGGTTTACTTAGTCGCTTATATTCCTATGACAAAAAGTAAAAGTTGCTCTGTATCGTAAAGGTCAGAAATATGAGCTGTCGAATTTTTATTTAGTCGACGAATGACAACACGCTTATTGCAAAAGCGGATTATCCTAGGGGTAATATGGCTGTGGATTTATATTGTTTAGTGATTTTTAGTTGAACTGAAAATGTAGTGAAAGTGATCCTTCATTTCCTATAGATCTCTCTATTTGATATAAGTCTGTAATGGAAATCTCTATCTAACTAGTAGACCCTTATTTTAAAAAGCGGCTGATATGATGCGTCAAATGAAGTATTGTGTGGCATTAGGTGTTAGCGGCAATCGGCAGGAGGCCTTTGACCTATGTTTCGTGCTTGTTGACAGTCATCAGTCATTAAGATGTATCTGAAGTCTTGAAGGAATCCATGTCGCTTCTGAGATTCTAACCCAGGTCACCAAGTGTGGTGTAGTCAGAGATGTCACCACTGAACTACTGTGTGCACACACGAGTATGGTGTGCAGTAAAAAGAAACAGATAAAGGTTATGAAGAAAGAGCTGTTTCTACAGCACAAATTCAGTGAGGACATGCCTAGTGAAGTTATACTCCTAAGAGTATATACAGCTACAAAATGGAAATACACTGCTGCCACCCTCTGTTTATCATTGACCAGATGACCAATTATGTTTCAGCAAAAGATAAGCCACCAAACTGTGCCACTTATATGTGCATTTACAAGTTTCGCTGCTCCTGTGGAAGAAGCTATATAGAGAGAGCAACTTAGATAGCTTTATAAAGGCACAGTTGAGTATCTTCCCTTAAGATTCAGAAGTGGCCAAACAAAATCTTTAAGAAGCTATCCTTTGTAGTATTTGACCGACAAAGGTTACCATCAAGTGGACAGAAGAAGCGTCTTCAAGGTTATTAATCGCATTCCATCGAATCTTTCTTTTAGGCATAGCTGAAGCTACAGGAATTCAAGAGAACAGTCTTAGTCTTGGTATACAAAAGACATTTGTTCTATCCTGTGGTTCTTCCTTAGCCTAGGTAAATTAAACAAACTAATTAAAACTTCCCACCTTTTCATACTGCTCGATTCTCTTGTACTTTAATGATATCTATTCATATTCTAATTACCTATCCTCTTCATCTTTAGTATTATGTACCTTCTAATCTAATAAAGTTCTAATGTAGTATGATTATTGAACTCTCTACATTATAATCATTATTTGTATTGCCACTTGCGTCCAGTGGTTGTATTTTTGTTATCATTAATATTACTTCTGGTATAATCGTCACTCCTGCTGACCTATTTACAACATTTAACACTTGATTCCAATCCACAAATTCACCGTCATTTGTTCAGAATTTTAATATAAAAGCTGTGTACATTAAAGTAAAGCTTGACGAAGGTCTAATTGAATACAATATTTTGATTGGACACTAGTAACTAGTGTGAAGTGTCTAGTCCTTTCTTTGATGCGTACTGAATTCTATCAATCAAGTTTGCAATGTGGCAACCATTCTAGGTAGCTCGCCATCACGGTGCATATTAATCTGATGATATACGATAGAATGGTGGCCACATTGCAAACCTGACTGATAGAATTCAATCTGCGCCAAAGAAAGGACTCGACACGTCACACTAGTTACTAGTGCCCAATCGAAATACCCACTACAGTCCTACAGGAGGTCAATTGCAAGACTGGATAGCTAAGTGATAACGTCTTTGACTGCAGCAGTGGGTGACGAGGGTTCGAGTCTCAAAAGGGACGTGAGTTCCTTCAAGGTTGCAGATGCGTCTTGCTGACTGGTGAGTGCCAACTAGCATGAAACCTATGCCTCCAACTATCAAATATCATTGAATACAACATTATTCGTTAATATTATTATTATTATTCCCTTGGGTTCCGAGTGGAACATACAGCTTCGACAACATATCACCACTTTCTTCTTTTTTCTTCTGACCTCTTCATCTGGTTCCTCTCATCTCCTCCTCACACGATCTCTTCCATGTCACCCTAACATCGGCGACCCACTCGTCGCTTCCCATCGGGATTCCACTCGAGCCATGACCTGCATTGTGCGCGATGTCATTTGACGGCCTCCTTAACGCATGCTCGATCCACCTCCATTTTCTCCTACATATTTTTTGACCAACTGACTCTTGGTTGGTTTGTTCACAGCCAGAGTTTCCTCTTGCTAATTCTTTCTGGTCAGCCGGCTGGCCAGTTGGTATTCAGTATGGAGCCAGAGAAGGTAACTGTTGGTAAAAGTTTGTTGCAAATTCTTCTCGTACCGCGCGCGCCAGGTATCTGACCCATATAGAAACACTGATTGACTTTGCATTTTTATTGAAAACCCAAACGTTGTTCACTATGTTGAGTACAATGCAGAAGATTTCCAAACTGCTTCCAGGTTGATGAAGGCATATCTTGCCTTTCCAATTCTGGCTAGTGCTGACATTTTCATCTACGCTGTCCAACTACCTGTGGTTGAAACCCTGCTTCCTAGATAAGTGAAGGCAGAAAGTAACCTCTGTCAAATCTCTTCGGGTGATGGTGATTGGTGCTGGTTGTTGTCGCTGTTGGTTGGTGGTTATCTTCATCACCTCCGTCTTCTCCATGTTCACCTGGACTCCTGTCTTCGCTGCCTGACACTTCTGCCAGTTTGTCGGTTTTCGCCTGCAAGTTTTGAGTTTGTATGACATTAAACATAAATCATCCATGAGCGAAATCCAGATCTTCTGGAGTCTTCTTATAGGTCCAACGTATTCCTGTCTTTGCACACCCTGTGCACAGTCTGACTCATAATCCAGTCCACCACAATTAAAAATATCATCGCTGATGATAACAGGCAGGCAGTCTTCTCTTACTCCTGTATTCACTGCGAACGCCTCGCTGATTGAGTTTTCTCTTGTAGATCACCCGACACATGGCAATTCGTTTATATTCATTGTTTTAAATGAAGTACTGTGAAGAATTTCGACCACAGACACCAATCACTCACTTTAATCTGAGCAGGACAGTTACTGTTCAGATGGAGTTTATGACTCATATCTTAGTCCACATAAAACGTTATATCATTACACCTTTATAGAAGGAATAATTCAAAAACGTAAACATAACTGACATCTTTAATAATCTCAGTGAAAATCAATCAAAACAAAACATTCAACCTTACTTGCTGAAATATAATGCTGCTTACAGTGGTTGGCTAAAGCAACAGCCATTTGTCGAACACGTTCAGGGATGAAATTCCCTTCAGTATCTAAAAATAAAGCTTGTCCATCAAGCCCACCGAACCACTTAGGAATTTGTACATTGACACACGCTTGAAGACTATCAAGGACAACAAAAGAAAAACAAAAATGAAATCAAAATATAACAGTTTCAACATAAAATGCATTTTAACGAAATTCAACATTCAATTGCTGCTAACTAATTTTTAAGGCATAAATCTGTTCACACAAAACAACCAACCAGAATTCACAAAATGGCAACCAATAGGACGCACTGTTAAATCTGTTCAAGGCCGAACCACAATAATTCTGCGGGAAAAATAGATTAAGGATTTCAGGAAAAAAAGTTTCTACGGAGAATAACATAAAAATGCGAGGAAAAAATTTGAAAAATAAAACAAAACGTTTATTTTAAAAGTTAAGGTAATGAAAATTTGGAAAACAGACAGTTGAGGCCAGAAAAGTAGTTCACCAAAATAGTCATTCTCTTATTGAACAATATTATTGATATAAATACCCTGTTTTAATTATTATGCATGTAATGAGAAGGTTAGATGCAATGCTATACTACTACATGCTGAAAATTCCATAGTTGCACGAAAAGTACTGTTTGGAATAAAGCTATTCCTATTAAATTAGACGAAAATTAGCATGGAGAATAAAGGTAAGTCCACTAGGTCACATAGTAAGTAGTTACCGAATACTTGAAATCACAGATGTTTCATTTCCAGTTATGCAACAGATGATTCTACTTTTTTATCGGTTGCAATCTGTTCTGTAGATAGTTCGTGTCACTAATAGGAGAAAGTTCAGGACACTACAATTTTCTAAATACACTACTGTCTAGATTATGGAATTTGGATGAATTTCAGTGTAAATTTGGTCACGGACTAAGATCAGTTAAGGCACACTGGAAACCAGGGGGCAGTGGACAGATGTTTCTTCCTAGCAGTGCACGCCCACAACCTTACCAACAGAGATCGAACTCGGGACCTTCATGTTACGAGACCGAGCTCATTGACTACTCAACCACTACAGTTGGAATTCAATGATTGTTGCATTATTGAAGAGTCCTAAGCTGGACAGAAACAGTTGTCCAGTGCATCATGGCTTTCAGTGGTCTCTAACTGATGTCGAACCATGAAAAAATCTACATTGAAATCAATACAAATCTCCACACAGTCATGTAATCTAAGTGTCAATCTCCAACTCACTGATGACTAGTGGATAGATGACCCAAAGTTATAATGAGAAGTCGTGACCAGTGAGGTGCACCATGATAAGGTGAGATGGATGCTACATCGAAGATATTGGTCGGAGGTAATGCTATATCGTGAATTGATAAAGTTAGGATTCCAGTAACAATTCTTTCAGATCTGATGTTGGTATTCCGATGGTCATATTCGAGTTCTCCATATAATTGTACAGGAAGCAAATTGTTTCTGTTAGTGACACTTTGGTAAAGAGAAGTGCGACGTCTAGGGATAACATCCGCTAATCATTTACATTCAAATCTTTTATTTATTCAGCGAACTCAAAAGTATCACGAAGGGAGTACTTGTATAGATGTTGTCTTGCAGGCCCCAACATGTCGGACAGCCATTTGGCGAATGGATGCTATGGTGACCCTGATATGTCTAGAATTGGTCCAAGAGGCAAAGGTGCACAAACCTCGTTTGCATAAAAGATTTGAATGTAAATGATTAGCAGATGTTATCTCTAGACGTCACACGTCTCTTTATCAACGTGTCACTAACAAAAACAATTTGCTTCCTGTGCAATTATGTTGAAGAACTCGAATATAGAGCATCGGAATACCAACATCAGATCTGAAACTTAGAATTCACAGATCATTGAATTCCCACCCAATTGGTCAACTGGTCAACGACCTTGGTCTTATAACCTGAAGATCCCAAGTTCGATTCCTGATGATGGGATCGTGGGTGTACAGTGCTGAAGATCACCAACAAATATGCGGATGAGAATACAGATGTACTGGTTATATAATGAGGCGACATTTAAATGATGCCAAGCACTCAAATGGAAATCTGCTAGGCAAAGACTTGTTGGACGTCTGAGGGTGATTATGGAGAAGATCATATTTGGAGGAAATAAAAGCTTATACCGAGAGGAATGGAGATGTACTCCCCCACTAAAGCCTTAATTTTCACTTTTAACCTAAGAAATGAATGGATATACAAAAATATATCCTATCAGACAGTACATTGGAACCGTAATAGGCTTTACATACATAACATCATTTATACCTAAACGCTTCGCCTACATTGTTGATTATAAATAATTTTTTATCGTGACCATATTTTCTACTGAATAATAATATTAACAGTAGTAGAAACATTTTATCTCTCTCAAAGAAATGTGCTTTTGAAACAAACATATGTACATGTATATGGGTATCAGAAGTTGATAATAACAAAATATTTCTCCAGTTTTTCAACAAGAAAAAATATGATAAGATGAATGAGCAGTTCGACAAAACAAGTGACAATTAAATTGGACGAAAGAAAACAAAGTTGAAAAGATTCCCCTGGATATTCGTACACAACAGAAAGAGAGAGAAAGAGAGAGAAAAGCCAACACGAACACAAAAGTAACAGATTAAATGTGAAGTAAAACAGATAGTGGGTTTAAGTTTAACACTAGATAACTAAATTGATTATTATCTCTAAATGTTGGTTTGCTAAAATCATAGAAAAAAAGAGACAAGCAAAATTACACCATATCTAATGAGGGTGAGTTTAAAGCCAAAGATTATGTGATCAAATGAAAGGAAGAATAAAGACATCCAGTTATCAGGGCAGGCAAAGAAAGACCAATAACTGTTTCTTCTTTCTGAACACATAGATCGGATTTCAGGTGTTTGATAGAGATTGTTTCGGTAAACTTGAGGAGAATTGAACTTTTTATTGTCTATTGATAATTTTAAAGGATTTTCAGATCTCTACCTCATGACCTGTATATCAAGGAGTTGCTTGTTAAGGGTGCTATTGTAAGCGTTTGTTCCCTTGAGACGTAGGCTTTTCGGTACTTGTTCAGAAAATTGGAGGTGTGCCCTTCTTTCTATTCTTCTAATGTGGTGTGGCGCAGTATGATTCCATTGTAGAGTAAATTTGTTTTGATAAAGTCTCACAGTGTTATACAGTAACATTTACTGATGACCACGTTTCGAGCACAATTTATTACCACTCATAATCATGTCAAGACACTACTCACATAACTTTCTAACTTCGTTTATATAATTCCATTAGTTTTCATCGCTTGATTTGATTGGTAGTAGTATTTTCCATACTTCCGTTATGAGTGATGAGTCATTCCTGTTGCACGTGTTGAGTGTGGATTCGCTCGATGAACCAGGTTAAACTAGTACATCGGGACTAGTCAGATTGTCAGCAGAACATAAGAATTTAGCTAAGGTTAAAATGATTGACCCCAAGAATATAATTAACTTAGAAAGGAGCTCAGCGAGTGCACTGCACGCATTAACATACAACCACACAATAGGGTGGGAGAGGGTTAAAATTTTTAATATACTGAACCCTTGTTCAACGAGCGAATCTACACCCAACACGTGCAACAGGAATGACTCATCACTCATATCGGAAATATGGAAAATACTACTACCAATCAAATCAAGCGATGAAAACTAATGGAATTATATAAACGAAGTTAGAAAGTTGTGTGAGTAGTGTCTTGACATGATTATGAGTGGCAATAAATTGTGCTCGAAACGTGGTCATCAGTAAATATTACTGTATAACACACTGTGTGACTTAATTAAAATAAATTTTACCCACAATGGACTTACACTGTACCACAGTGAACAAGATCATATCAACCCATCATACTGTTTACTACTTTACATATTTGGACACATACCTAGGTAAAGATATTCAAGCAATGCAGACGTGCGTAGCGGAATATAAACCTAAATGGCTAAAACAAACAATTAAACTCTCAATATTCGTAAATAACACAACCTATTTTGGGCACGAAGCACATAACTCGTGCTGAAACAAAAATGGAGAACCTGGGTACTTTGGTAAAGCTGCTACTGAAACTACTCGGGATTATCGAGCAGTCTATACCTTAAAGTATTAGCCTCATCCATTCAGTTTTATGGCACACCACCTAACTGACACAAGAAACTAGATTGACACATACTAATCTCTTAAAGTGGTGAACAGATCAAGTTTATAACAGAACGCAGCTCCTGGTTATGCTCCACTGTAGTGTGGATCAATCATCAAGTCAAAGGCTACAGGTGTGGTCCTTTACAAAAACCACCTGATTCAAGCTGGGCTTCCAGGCAGCATCCAGAGCACAAACTAATCCCGCCTTCATTGTGCAAATCACATAACTATGTCAAGTTGCCTTAGTTATCCCCACTCGAAAAACAACGCCTGAATTTCATGTTCAAAAGTACTCGATTACCCTGTCTTATTACTAGTATAGTAAGCATTAACTATTTCACTTCGTTTCTTTATGTCTTAACATGAAAATTACAACAACTATCTACTTCCGTATTAATTAATATATATTTTTTCTTCTGTAAGTACCATTGTTTTCGTCTCTCCCTTAGTATTGATTTTTATTTGAACAATCTCATAATTACGTAACCACCCTTGATTATGCTTGAATCCACCCCATCCCCTCAATTTCTCTCCTTACAATTAATAATTATGTCTTGAATTTTTTGATTATTCTATTCTTATATTATAACATCCTTTATAATTTACAATATATAAGATTAAATTTTGCTTTAAAACAAAAGGGGCTATTCACATTTAAATAAAGTATGTTAAAACGTTAAAACACACACTGATTATTATTATTGTTATTATTACTATTAATATCTCTTTTGTCATTCAAGTTGTGCAAAGTTGACGAAAACTGTAGGAAATAATAGTGAATTCTCAATATTTATCATCATCGCTTGTGAAAGCTGTTTTTTTTTGACTGCTCTATTGAAGTGTTGTTGCATGTATCAAGGGAACTAACTCATTTGATGAATGGGTAATATTATTATTATGAAGATAATGTACAAAAATGAGCAGTTTATTATCAAAACTGATTCTTCCT